CGTTCGCCAGCGATTTTCTAGGCACAACAACAACACGGAGGACTGCACGCGATACCCATACAAGAAGATAACAGTTCTTGCGTTCAACATCCTTTACCTACCCTGGAGTACAGCAATGACTCTCCATGTGCACGCGTCTATTCCCCTTTGCAGCCGCAGTATCCTTATATTTCAGATGGTAACGTCGACGTCGTGGACAATGAGAACTGGGTGCATAGTTATGGAATTACTCAGTATCCTGAGAACACATTGATTGGAATGACAGGCTCAATAGGTAATTCTTTGTTTAATTGTCAAACTGAAAGTTTTGGTAATTTCAATCAAAATGTTTTGCTCAGTACATATTTCGACAAGTTTTCTCCGCATTGCATCATACTTAGAATAGCTCCAGTCGTGTAATACTTGTGTTCTGCGAATTCCAAATGTTAATGTTTCAGAGTTGTACTGAACTACTTAATCAAAATAACTGTGTATGTTGCGATTATTGGAGCACACTACCAGCTCACACAATAGGACTGAGAGCAAACAACAAAACTAACACACGGTTTTTCACATGGTTCTGGCCAAACATGCCTATATCCACGGTCCCTCATCCACTATCTTCAAAACCAATACAATCGATACAAGTTTTGCATGGATAAACTAAAAAGTTTATCTTTTTATTTTTGGTTAATGAGCATCTAATGATTATATGTTTTTCTCTATTTTTTTGTAGTTAAACAAGTTGAAACTACAAAGGATGATGTTCTTGATGTGGCTAAGATAGTGGATGACGATGACTCGGAGATTTCCGAGACCTTTGTAAAAGCATCATTAGGTATGTTATTTGACTCAATATTCAATAAGCACATGACTTGAAATTTTTATTTCTCCATATTTAATATGACAATTCTTCTTCTTTTTTTTTGCAAGGTGACATCATGGAGGTCTACGACTCGGATGATGGGATGATCTTAGGGTAGAAGCTATTGTTTTCATCTTAGATTGTACTAATCAGTCTGCTCCATGTTTTGTGGCATGATATTGGGGTTTTTATGCTGTATTTGTTGTGTCTTGAGATTATTTAATGGTTTGGAGATTGTTTAGTGGTATGAACTTTTTGTTGAATGTTGAATGTTGTGAAATGTTGAATGTTGAATGTTGAATGTTGTCTGAACTTTTTTGCCTTCAATTTTCTATTCATAGACCTTTGAAATTCTGGATATGATTGTTGTAGTTTGGTTACAATTCCTGACACTATTGTTTTAGTTGGGTTGTGCTACTGAAGATTTTGGATGAAGATTATATGTCTAATAAATTTGTGCTCAATTTTAGTTTTCAATTGATGGTTTTGTATGAAGATTATATGTCTAATAGATTTATGTCGAATATCCGTTTATATCCGTGATCATATCTGATCCGATTCTCAAATATCCGAACCGTATCCGTTTCCGATAAATGCGGATATGGTTAAGGTTTTTTCTTACCGAGGGTGATCTGTATCCGTTTATAAAAAGCTGATATGGATATGGTAAACGTCATATCCGAACCGTATCCGCTCCGATAACACCCCTGGTGATTGATAGTTGTAGAACAGACATTTCATGTACATTGACACCGATTTGTTGACACTCTTATTTACACTCACTCATGTCATATATGCACGCCTGATTTCATCGCTAGCTATATAGTCATGTTCATCATATGATTTGCATAAGATTAGTTGTATTTATTTATTATTTCTTGTTTTGTTGAGAACCGTTAGTAGTTCATGTCCTTAGTTGCCCAGCGTGTCGTGTATAAGACCTAAATACTTGTGTATTGTTGACTTAGAAAAGCAAGATGAGTTGGGATGGGGAAGTCCATGTTCATGTTATCGGATATATTGTTGTTTATTTCCAGGCTCGCACCAGTGAATCGTTTCGCATTGGGGTGGGTCTGAGGAGCAGTGATCAGATATGTTTATTGTTTATTTCCAGGCTCGCACCAGTGAATCGTTTCGCACTGGGTGGGTCTGAGGAACAGTGATCAGATATGTTTATTGTTTATTTCCAGGCTCGCACCAGTGAATCGTTTCGCACTGGGGTGGGTCTGAGGAGCAGTGATCGGATGTGTATTGTTTATTTCCAGGCTCGCACCAGTGAATCGTTTTGCACTGGGGTGGGTCTGAGGAGCGGTGATATTGTGATTATTGATTATTTCTAGGCACGCACCAGTGAATCGTTTCGCACTAGGGCGGGTCTGAGGTACTAGTGAGATGTGGTTGTTAACCAGATATCTGATAATGTGAACTTTGACTCTGCTAGTGAGATGTGGTTGTTAACCAGATATCTGATAATGTGAACTTTGACTCTGTGTGAGATGTGAACCAATGACCTGTTATAGGATGACTAGTTACATGATTCGTTTCTTGGCTAAGTATGAGTTCTTGTGAGATATAGGCTAGTTGTGTTTCTTTTCATACATAGATCGGGATTAATATTTATTTATTTATAATTTGAGACATATGGTATATACATGAGGGTTTCCTTGTTTGGATTATTTCTCTCGACGTACTACGTCTCGAGTTGTAGATTTTTAAGTATTAATTCTATCTATTGTATAACCTTGTTGCTTGGATGATTGTTCTGATCGCTAGGCATGTTTTTGTTACCTGAATGATTTACGAATTCTTATGATTATCATGTGGATTGCATGTTGATTTTGTTAGATTACCAGTTGCACGTTCTTTTGTTATTTTGGTTTTCGTATCGTTTTCCGCTTGTGTTTTCGATCATTCTATTTCTTTTGTGGGGTCTTGCTGTGTGCCACGCTGACGTACACATGTTTTCTCTGGTGTACGTCAGACTTAGAGAAAGAACAGGTCCAGCTAGGAGATCGCCAGGAGCCAGAGGATTCTCAGCATGAGTGCCTTGCACACGTAGCAGAAGAAGAAGCCAAAGTTTAGTTATTCCCTCTTGTTGTTCGATGATCTTAGTTTACTTTTGTAGCATTTCTTTTCTGCTTGGTCATTGTATTTTGTATCTCCTCAGCATTCATTTGTTCAGTTTTGTATAAGGGCATGTGGACCCGTATATTATGTCTCGGATGTTATTCCATTTGTGATATGATATTTTTATTCTGAGTTTGTCCATTATATTCTTGTTGATTGTGATCGGGGACCTGTGACTTCGCATTATATTTATTTCCAGACGCTTAGCGTATTGGATTGAGAAGAAAAGAAAAGAAAGAAAAAATAATAATAATAATAGTGTATATTTCTTCTCAATCTAATACGTCGCGGTCTTGTTCACGTCCCGATTCCCGGGTATTTTGGGAAACGGGGCATGACAGGTAGGATTGATTTCCCAAATCAGAGAGGATATGCTAGAATTTGAAATTCTAGTTTTTGTGTTCTAAAATCCAACCCTATGAAATAAATTGATTTTAAATCTGAGTCGAATATGCCCCAAGCATGATATTTGGATTTGGGCTACAGGGATTTCAAGGGCCCAAATCCAAAATACCAAACACATCCTCATTAATTAAGGGGCTATTTGGTTGAGTGGTTTTATAGAAAACTTTATAAAAAATGGCTGATAGTGGTAATTTTGTAAATAAAATTTTTCTAAAGATTTCTATAAACTATGTTTGGTTCAAAAAACATTATAGAAAAGTTTTCTATAAAGTACAGAAAAGTACCACATTTTATAGAAATCATTTCCACTCAAAATAGGCGGAAACCACCCCGAAATCTGACTCATATATTAAAAAATAATTAAGTACATCAGTACCCTTCCCATGTGATTTCTCATAGGCATTGTTAGTAAGCTATTTTATATAAAGTGACACCCAACCAAACAAAAGAAAAAGAAAACAATATATTTTATATAAAGTTAGAAACTTTTTCATACTTTGAACCAAACAAAGAAATAGCAAAAAACAAGAAATATAATACTCTTTTGAGTTCTATAAATTTTTCCTATAAATTTTATAAAAATACAAGGAAATCAAATTTTGAGTACTTTTCTTTTTCCTCTTTTTTGGGTTTGTTTGGTTTGCTTAAAAGGCCCAAAGAAACTCATTTCTGGGCCTGACATCAAGGCCACATCGGATGTTTTTCTTACACTGCTTTCTTTTCGTGGGTTTGGTTCATTCGGGTTGAAGGGGAGAAACGGGGGTGAAAATTTCTCCATCTCAGATTTTTTTCATCTCTCCGGTTTCCTTCCCCAACTGAGAGAAATTGATGAAAACCCTAGCCGCGTCTGACAAGTGATCTCTAGTTTCTCTTGTTGATTTTTTGGGGACGTTATGGTTACCTCCTTGCCTCTCTCCTCCCGCCAAAAATCTCTCGCGGCCTTCTTCGTCATTGTCTTCTTGTTCGTCGTCTTCGTTTTCGCCTTATTCATTGACTTCTTCGTCACTGAAATTGAGGTAAACTTTAAAACTTGATATCTGAAATTACTTCGTCACTGTCTTCTGAAATTCCTTCGTCGCTTGGATGTTGAGATCTGAAATTCCTCATTCATGTGTGTCGTGCATGCTAAAAATGCTAAATTATGGAATAAATATCATTCATTAGGTCATTAATTTGTAATTTCAGATAATCAAGAATGGTAGAAGGCTTGTTAATTTCCTGTTGTAGGCGTATAAAATTGCTTATAGGTCCCTTAGCACAGCTCGGCACAAACCGACGAACCATCGGGCGACGTATCCAAACACGAGCATCAGTCCACAAAGCCAAAGCTAAGTGACACACAACGAAGCGGATTAACGAGGCAATGAGGCTAACGAACCGCACGCAAACAATGGAATACATCCATTCGCATGTGGAATCAAGCTAACAGTTCGGTGAGTCAACGAGTCATCCAACCATAGAACGGATTTGAACTCAAACACCGAGGCGAATTTACTGCCAAATCAGGATTCAGATCAACAAATCAGAGTCCAAATCAACCACGAGACGGAAAACGGCAAAAACCACAACACCTAGGGGACTCGGCCAAAACCGAGCCACCTCTAGGTGGCTCGGTGGCCGGCCAGATCTGTGCCCGGGCACAGATCTGAGAGCCTATAAATAGGCCCTTGAGTGCTCATTTTTGAGAGGTTGGTTGGAATTTTTGGAGGCGAAGCTCTGCCGGATTCAAGGCTCAGAACTTAGAAAGATTGAAGCTTTGGGACTTTGAGGACTTGCTCTTCCAGATCTGGTGCTCGGCGATCATCAACGCCAAATAAGGCAAGAGTTCGAGAGGAACCGGATCTCAGATCTACGTAGTCATCCTCCGGATCAAAGCTTGGCCTTTGATCCCGAGAATTAAAGGCTACTATTTCCTTGGCGAAGTAGTACCCTCGGCTATTATTTCCTTGGCGAAATAATACCCATCATACTGCATAGATCCGACCGGATCTAGATCGCGCGGTGGTCCACGGATAAACCCCAGCGCAGGCAAAGAACCCACCAAAACGAGTGACCGCAAAACATGAGCTCGTGATTCGTTCGACAAACAAGGAGAAAGTTGTAATATTTTTATTTTTTCTTTGATCTCGTTGTAACCGGATCTTATAAAAAGACCGGATCTTTGTAATGACTCTCTCAAAGAGAGCCCGCCAGAGGCGACGTCAACGCCTTGCGCGGCAATTCGCTAAGGCGATGGAGTCTACAGACGGAGTCCGCTACAACGCGGATCTGAAGAACAGGGGAGGCAAACAGCCTCAACGGCCGATGAATGGCGACTCCTCCAAGCCGCCAACGAACGAATGGATCCGGGTCAAACGGAACCGTTCGACACTTGAAGAGCGGATTCACAAACGCCGCGCGTTACTCGCACAAGCAAAAATTCTTGTGCAGGAGGCCAAGAAATTGGAGGAAGAAAGAGTGGCCAAAAAGCCATCACCAACCCGCCAAGTATGGAGGCCGAAGCAGCCTCCGACAAAAGTTCAACCACCGGCGAATCAACCCAAACCGTCGATGATTCCAGTAATTACTCCGGGAGATCATGCAGAATCATCCCGAAAGAAGAAGCCAGTTTTGGAGTGCCTCGGTCCACTTCCCGATGAGCGAGGCAAGGCTCCAGTTCAAGAGCGTTTGGGCCCACTAACAAAGCCCCGAACGAATCAACATGATGGGGGTCGCCGCAACCCTCAACATGACAAAGAAATCATGGCACCCAAGCGCACTACTTTGCGCATCGAAGTTCA